GGAAGACGGAGGGGAGGCATGCTGTGATATAAATAGGGTAGCCGGGGTACCTATGAGAGGTGAGATTTGAGCCACATCGGAGGGAGTAAAAGGTTGTGACGCAGTTAATTGAAGTAAGAATGTTCCAGAGAGAACAGCTACAGCCAATTCCCCAAGGAAGGAGTATGCTTGGCATGTTGAAGGAAAAGCAGAGAGTGAACTGGTAGAAGGAAGAAGAGAATAGTAGACAGGAGGTCAGAAAATAGATTATGAATTTATCAGAGCCCAACAAGCCCTCTGGCTTTTACTTCCACATGATGTGCTACAATGTTGAGCAGAGATAACCAGGTTCACTCCGGCTGCTATATTGAGAACAGTCTGGAAGAAGGCAAGGGTAGAAGCAGGAGGCCTGTGACAGAGGTGATGGTGACTCAGGACAGGGTGGTAGCAGTGGAGGCAGTGAGAAGGGATTGAATTTTGGATACATTGTAAAGGTAGAGCCATCAATTAATACTTTCTTTAAAAATACTGGTTATTTTACAGTTGTCCATAGATATTAGATAACAGATTCTAATGGGGCTAAAATCCTAAATGGTCAACTATAGACGCATCTTGGTACGGTTGAGCTGCTCAGATTCTACTGTCATTTAAGGTATGCTCATTTTATATTATTTTCTTAAAGCTCAGAGAACTTATTTATATATTTATCTGAGGGTCAGAGGAGGGTAGGGGATAGGAAGTACCTTTCATACCACAGTAGGAACTAGGGTAAGAATGTAGACGTCTCAAGTTTCTGTCCAATGTTCTTTTTCCTTGAGTAGGTTTTGCGTGTAAGACTACTCCTGAGATGTCCTGTGTTCTGTGAATATCGTTCTCTGTATTTGGTTCTGGTCCGGGACACAATTCTTTCTTATGCTCACATACCTTATGGATTTGATGATGCAGGCTTTGCAGAACCTATGGCCGCATGGTGTCTGCACTGCTTCCCGTAACGCCATCAGGCAGATGGGGCACTCGTACTTGCTCTCCAGCGGTGGGTCAAACTCCACGTCGTAGCCCTGGATCTCCTCCATAAAGGAGCTGGAGAGAGTCCCTGTGCAGGCAGTTGCACCCACGCTGTCGTCCTTCGCGGCAGCACTACAGGAGCTGGCCATGGCAGCGCAGCAGTCGCTTTCAGACTGGCTGGATGCACAGCTGTTTTCACAGTTTAGCAGACTCATAGTAACGATATTATTAATTGCTCTGTAGAAACAGCAAGGAAAAAAATGCTTTAACATACATATAAGTATACACACTTACATATCACAGCTTATTTATGCAGGTCACCTCTTAGTTGATATAATCTTCATTAATATAATTTATGGAAAACTTTCAAAGTTTTTTGAGTTTTACTTCATGACTACCATTTTATAATAAGTTAAGGAGTTCAAGATCTATTAGGTAGCCAGAATGTAAAGTTAAAAGAAAAAATTACCTCAACTGTAATACCTAATTATATCACAATTATCTGTTTAAATGTCTGTTTCCTGTGACTGAAGTCAAGAATTTAATTTTCATATCCTTAAGTACTCAGCACAAGATCTTTCACATAACAGGTGTTCATTAAGCATCTGCTGAAGAACTTAATTATGCTGCCGAAGTTCCCTCAAGCATCCTAAGCAGGCAGTGCAAGGAAGAGCAACACACGGGGGATTAGATGGTCATGGGCAACTATTAGGTGTGTGATTTCGTGCAACTTAGCCACTTGGATCTTGGTTTCTTCTTCTAGATCTAAAATTCCATGAGTATATCCAAATGTTCAGTGTGGAGATTTCCATTATGTAGAAAGAATAGAACTAAAAATGTATATTTGGACGTTCTGCCTTCAGTCATGTCAAGTGACTATGTTTCATTATCTGACAGGAAAAACAAGTGAGGTTTCGTTTGCCTATGGAAAACTATTGCTTTCATGGGTAGGTGGGGCGCCTTCAAATTCTAAATCATATGACAGTACTGAGTGAGAAACTAATGTCTAAAGGCAATTCATGGCCTAGGTAACCAGGTTTCTGCAGTAGATAATTAGACCTGTGGAAAATTCCTAGTATGTGCCCGATATAGTTCTAGAAACCGAATGTAAACTCCTGGTCAATATGGTGAACAATCATCCCTGCTCGTGGGTTAAGAAAGTAATCCTCTGTCTTTTTGTCTTTTTTTACCCCCACAGATATCTTTTTTTCTTCTCAAAAAGATTTTGCATATCATCTAATGAGCACCTACAAAGGATGAGGCCCTGTTCTGGCAGGAGGGGCAGGACAGCCAAGTAGTGAATTACCAAGAGGATGAAACGTGTTAATATATGAGAGGACTTAGGACTGTGCCTGGAAGTAAGAATGCGTCAGTCATGTGCAGCTCTATACAGTAATTTTATGTAATAATTTTATTGCCCCCTCCCTCTTAGCAAAGTGGAAACTATGGAACTTAAAAAGGTGAAGTAACTTGCTGAGGACTACTCAACTAATAAGCAACAGAGCTGGAATCAGAACCCAAGTCTACCTGAGCCCAGAGGCTATGCACTTTGTACTACACCATGTTTGTCTCTTTGTGTATGTGTGTGTGTGTTTTGTTGTTTTTTTTTTAATATATCTTTATTGATTTCAGAGAGAGGAAGGGAGAGGGCGAGAGAGAGACAGAAACATCAATGATGAGAGAGTCATTGATTGGCTGCCTCCTGCATGCCCCCAACTGGGGATCAAGCCCACAACCTGGGCATGTGCCCTGACCGGGAATCAAACCCCGATCGCCTGGATCCTAGGTCGATGCTCAACAGCTGAGCCATGCCCGGATGGGCTGTCTCTTCCTGTTTTGACAAATGTGTTTATAAAGCTGCACTTAAAATTTCTTTCCCTTTATTTTTATTACAGTAGACTAAGGTGTTGACCTCAACTGCTCAGCTTCTACAAAACATGACCTGTCTAGCGTTATTATGCTGGGTTGATAGAATTTCAAAGAATCAGTAGAAAAAAATTGACATTTGTTTTACTTTTGACATACTATTTTCAAAAAAGTTAAAAACAGCTCCCATGCCCTGGCCTATGGCGGCTCAGTTCGCTGGACCATCGTCCTGTACACCGAAGGGTCTTGGGTTCAATTCCTGGTCAGGGCACATACCTAAGTTGCAGGTTTGGCCTGGTCCCCAGTCAGGGAGGCAACCAATTGATTTTTCTCTTTCTCTCTTTCTCCCTTCCTCTCTCTAAAATCAACAAACATACCCTTGAGTGAGGATAAAAAAAAAAAAAAGACATTCCTATAGCTAATGCGGATTTCTAGGGAAGACTTAGTACAGGCTGAAAGGCAGCAAGGGATGGCAAGATAGTGCCAAACACAGAACTAGTCATTATACCTGTGCTCCAGGATGGGGTAGAAGGCCCCTGTTATACCCTCCAAACCTGAGGACATATGACACTGCTATGCTATACTTAGGGTTTACATCCTTAGTTATTTTTCTTCCCATACACTTTTGTGTCCAATTACTTCTTTAGGTAAATCTCATAGATTTAGAATTATTTGGTGAAAGGGTATGTGACTTCCTAAGGTTTCTGACAGACAATGCTGGTTACCCAATGTGTATCAAAGGCTTTTTAATTCCCACTCCCCCAAAGAGAGTAAGTTTGAGATACCCTATATGTAATTTTATATACCCTTGACAATTCTAGGTATATTTATCTTTTGGATCGTTAACCATTTTCTTTTTTAAAGTAAAATCATTTTGAGAAATTAGTATTTCTCACTTAGCTGTACAGAATATATCAAAGTGTTAGAAGACAAAAGCAAGTTACTGAGCTATATCTCCTTTTTCTGTCCAACTGTCCAGTTACAATTCAGTTTACTAGGCAGTCTATATACTGCCCTCTTGCAGTCCAGTTTGAAAGAGTTGAAGGTCTTTGGATTTAAAGAGACCTTTCATAGCAAGTGTGTTACTAAGAAAACGTGTGTAATCAGTCACAATTCCTTAAAAAGAGTTCCACTGTAGGAATGCAGTGTGCGCACTCTTAAAAATCTAGATGTCGTTGATTTTCATATACTTTTCATGCTTTAAGAAGTGATACAGACGCTCTACACCCTCCAAGTAAACTTTTTCAGGTAGTCACTTTCTGTGCCTTCAGTATATAGACCCATGGAACTATACTGCAAAGAAAAAATTAAGCTAAAACAGTATTTTGAGTGCCATTTAGTATTTTTATGTTTACTCTTTCTTTCTGGCAAGTTAAAACATTTTTCCCCTTTACTTTTAGAGACTGTGATGACATAATGACTCAAGTGAAAATCACTTTCCTAACTATAATAAATATTTTAATTAGTACTAAGAGAAGAATAAAAAGTGTTTTGCGTCCGCTACAGAAGTGAACGGAAGATGATCTGGCGCCCTTGCAGGAAATATGCTCTATTAGGGTTCTTTTTATTTCTTATGGTGCCACAGGTACCCGCTTCATGAGAGGCTACAAAAGCAGGCTTTGGCTTTACATAACCTGTGAAAGATGACAGGGGTGGAGCCATATTATGAGAGTCAGAGTAGTCACTTCAGAGGAACTGCCCTGCGCGCCTGTGTTTCTTTACCCTCCAAACCTTACGTTCTACCTGTTAGTATCTGGGGATATAGTAGAGTCCAGAGTATACTGTTAAATTTCTGCGAGAGGGGGCGTAGGGTGATGCACAAAAATTGTCTCCCTAAGGTTAACAGGTGCTAACAAGAGAAATGTCTAAGCTAAAGAAGTCAACAAGTTATATCTTGAATTGGTTAATTTTAAGTTAACAGAAATTCATTCATGGCTAAACACACAACTCATAAAGTAAAACAAACAGATCGTGTATCAGAGAAATGTACACCTGAAACCTACAGAATCTTACTAACCGATGTCACCCCAATAAATTTAGTTTTAAAAAAACACCTTAGAAAAAGAAATTGCCTTTAATTTGCTGCTAGCTTTAGGAACAGGAACTACTTACTGACTCTTTAAAATCTATTCTTAAAATACAAAGACCTGCAGATGCAAATGCTGCAAAACAGTCAACTGTTATGTCTTAATTCTGAAAACAGACTCAAGGGGCAGTCCCCTTCCTAGGCGCTATTTGCTCCCCTCAGGAGGCAAAGGTCTGAACAATTTCTTTCAAAATCCAAGAGGTCAAAAATTTGTCAGCATCACAGATCGAAATTTATCAAAGAAAAGTCCTCAAGTTACAACCCTGAAATACTGTTAAGTATACAGTGTGTGCAGGTTGAAACGCTCTGATCATCACATGGGCACCAAGTGCCTGAAACACATCCCTTCCTTCCTAGAGTTACAAGGAGGCCGGCTGTCCTTACCCCACCCCGACCTCAGTCAGAAAAGCCCCTTCTCCCTTCCCCAGTAATCGCCGGGGAATGGACGAAACGCCAGGGGCCAGATTCACAAGGCCAATACTCAGAATTTCTTAACAAGTTTTTCTCGTTTCTGTGTCTGTGTAGCGAGACATTTAGTGATCTGCTTGTCCCGAGAAACAAAAGAAACGCACAAATACTTTATATTCAGGCCGCTAGCACTTTAGGTGCTTTCTGTTCACAGTCATGACGGTCCCACCTCTCGGCTCGAGTTCCGCTAAAGCCAAATACTAGGAACAGCTTTATCAGCCCGGCGTCTGGAACAATCGCTAGCGCTGCGCGTGCAGGGGCGGGGAGGGAAGATCCGTGTCATCTGAACCTTTTTTTTTT